TATACAACCAGAGGAGTCGCCCCCTGGTGGACACTAGAGAGAATACAAGTTTTAAGACACTTCGCATCGACTTCACTCGGTAGAACCGGAGGTTGCCGCCTGGACAGCCTTCATTTTGGATGAAAACTACACAGAGGCTACAAAATACAAGTGGTTGTGTGATGTTTCTCTGACCTTTATTTTTATTTTTTTTCATCAGAATTGCTTTATTTTCATGACACATCAACACATTGTGGATACAAGAATGTTTAGATAAAATCTAATAAAAAAATCTATCTATCTATCTATCTATCTATCTATCTATCTATCTATCTATCTATCTATCTATCTATCTATCTATCTATCTATCTATCTATTAAATACATTTGTTAGTACTGATTATATTAATATTTGCATGTATCTTTCCTGATTATTTATTTTTGAATCCTTTATTTGCAATAGACATTCATGGTGAATAATCTTTTAGTAATCATTTCTGCTTAATTAAATCACACCGAAGTTGAATTAATCCTCATTTTATTGTGGGACCCCCTGGATCCATCGCTTTGACCCCTGGAGGTCCCCAGACCCCACTTTGGCGAACCGCATGTCTTTTAACGCCTTGGATTGTTTTCTGTGTGTGTAAACAGATGCGCCCACTGCAGGCGGCTCTCCCCCACTGCTCCTCCTCCTCCTCCTCCTCCTGCTATACTCCGCTCTCTGACTCCACGGCTCCTCATTCACTAGAAGATGGCGGACTGCGCTCCACTATTAGATGAGGAACTCTCGTCCTTTGTCTTCAATTACCTGACAGAAAACACCGGCAGCCAGGTAAGACCCGAGCCTCACCGGACGCACCGAACCTCGGGCTTTCCAGCCCGGGGTGCATCTTTGCACGTCCCCGGCCGTAGCGCGCGCTACTCCCGGTTGATGCGAAGCTTTCGCCCGGCTTGTCAGCAGCATCTCACCAAGCACAACGCTACCCGGCGTCTCGGGTCTGTGTGCGTGCGTGCGTGTGTGTGTGTGTGTGTGTGAAAGCCTACTATGCCTTGACGTCTGGCTTTCACGTGCGTTTTCTTTTTTGGAGGAAATGTCATCAGCCACGGGCAATTGAGGGAATTTGACGGATTAAAACGAATAAATGTGTGCGTGCCGGTGCTGGGAGCGGAGAGCGGCCGGTGTGTCGCTGCTCGGGGAGGATTATTTGGTATGCAGAGGGGGCGCTTTGGAAACTTTTGACGCATTCTTGAGGGGAAGTTCAGTGCCGGAGACTTGGACACGTGGTGCGCCTCCGAACGCATGGACTTAGATAAAGACTATTATGATGGCATGGCATTATGATACATATCCACGAACTACGGGGCAGCTTGGCTTTAAAAACATGCAGAGAAAATACTTGTATGCCCTTTTTGTTGATGTGTCACTCTGCTGGTGGGATATTGTGCTTGTATTTATTCGAAGCAGGTTTTATAATAAAGTGTTTGTTTGAGGCGGAAACACTGCAAAACACCCGCTGTGTATGTTATGTATCCACGCCACTATAAGCAGCTTGTCACAGCACCGTCGGCTTAACTGGGGGAAGCTCTGTGTTGGGGATCTGCCGGCTGCTCGGTGCGCCTTTTCAATTCAAGTTCAGCAACTCCCACCGATCATTCTGTCATTTCCTCGCATTGGTCAGTTGATCAGACGATGTTCTGCAGGTCAATGGGATGGAGAGGAGACAGTGGGGCTAGGTCAGCTGAGAAAGTTGGTGCGGATCTGAGTTTTCGTAATCGTTTGCGTAATCGTTACGACAACGGTTACAAAACGTTGGACTGGCTCACACGATCGTTTGCTGTGGCTCACCGAAAAGACAGCGGATTCTCCGGCTGTGTGTCCGAAGGGCTGGAGATGACTGACAGTTCATTAACCCACGGTGTGTCTGTGGAGGTCGCACGGAAGGGAGTTTGCACCGAATTTCAATGTATGCGCCAAACTGCCTTCTGAAATCGCTTCGATTCCGGGATTCCTTGCTTACTGGCAATAATGTGCAACGCCTAATGCATACATTGCTTTTTTAAATGAATGCATGTGGTCTTTAATTTAAATATGAATGTGTACCACACGTCAAGCAGCACTTATTAAGGAAATATGGGAACTTCTACAACTGCTCAACTGCTCAAGAACCCCGCGGAGGGCGGTAGCGAGTGGTGTTCTCCATTTATAGAAATGGAGATTTCATAATCATGAAGTGATGCACTGCCCCTAAAATATATGCCGAATTTTCTAAGAGAATGTATACATTATTGATGGCTTCCGGGCTGTATAATATGATATACGTATCGTTGCATACACGAAGGGAAACATTCAATGAGAGGATTTCTGAGCAGGGTTTTGGTGAGAAATTCTAATTCTCACACAGCAGATCCCAAAGTATCAGCTCAAATCTCCATCGTCCTCCTGCTTGTAGAGTCGCGCTTCCGAAATATATCGCGTGCACATAAACCTATAAAACCTATAAAACGTCATCGGAAAACAGGACCCTCGGTGTTTCTCCATCACTGTGTGACGTGAGATTGCGTCTTGTGGATTGGTACTGTATTGCTGTGATTGCACGGTCATCAGAGGGTGGGGGTTGAGTGTATGTGCGTGTGTGTGGAGGGGGATCTGTCACAGCTGATTGGCATCTTAAGCAGGTTAATTCAGTGTGTGGTGGTGGGATCCAGGGAGACAGTGTGCTATTTATAACGTGCAGCAATGACATGCGCCTCCACATTACACACACACACACACACACACACACACACACACACAAGCACACACAGTACACGCTCAGACAGATCTAACAGGTAAATGAGGAAATAAATGCACCATAACATCCCATAATAAAGGAGCTAACAATATGACAACTCATCTTAGTAATATCATACAGTATATAACTACATAGTGACATTCTACATCAATATTTCATCCCGTCCTATCACATCACTCAACTAAAACACACCTATAATTTACTTGTAGGAACATATTGAATGTCTTTTGAGTTCATACATTGGTTTTATTTTACATTTTGGTATTAGCATAAATCACCACAATATTCCTACGGGGACATGAACTATATAAGTGTGACCTTATTAATCTTCTATGACATCAGGATGTTCGTATACCATCTCAATATCTTGAAATAATGTAAGATCCTACAATGTGTCTGCACTTAATCAATATACCTTCAAACTGTTCACAAGTGGTGGCAGTAGACTGTATATAAGAAGTGGATGTAGTCAGTCGCCGTTTGTGAGCTACGGTTTTGAAGCCTGGAGTTCGGTGTTTTGGCCGTCGCCATCTTGGTTTCAGGCCGTCGTCGTCTTGGTTTTTGGCAACCAGAAGTGAAACCTGAGGGTGGAGTTCCGCATTGGCTTCACTTTTTCAGAACCGGAGGTCGCCGCGTCGTGGTGGCCCATAGCTTGGACAGCCATTACAAAGTCGCGCTGTGCAGCCAAACATTGTTCTAAGAAACAGAACTTTATTTAAACTCCTAGTGACGATCTCAGCCTTTCCAAAGATACCAAATAAAGGCTGAATTCTGGGGAAATGTCATGTTAATGCGCACGTCATCTGGACTATTTCCATTGGATGGAATGGTGCGTCCATAAAACTCTTGTGTTTTTGAATTTTTCGTTCAATGGAAACGTATAGCTTCAGGAAAAGAGCTGGAAGACGCTGATGAAGAGTAAGACGCATACAGAAACATGCATGCATGCTCGTATATTTGCTCGTATAGCTCTTTCTTCTCATGCTTGTAGTGCTCATTTGCTGCAAAGTCCTGGAGTGCCACAGAGGGAAGAAGATACAGTAGTATAGATAAGAGAAAGAAAATCTAATCTCACATTGTATCACTGCTTAACTTCTTTCTTTCATGTGTAGTCTGATAAGGTTATCTATTCTACAAACGCAGCATTAAAATGTTAATATTTCCTCAGGGTTATTAGGGCTGGCTGGCTTTCTCTGGGTCTCTCTCTCTCTCTTTCAGTGTGTGTCTATGCAGCTCGCCCCTGCCGGCTGGTTATTGTAATACTACTCTATCCTCGTGACTGGAGTTACAGAACAGGGCTACTGCAGTCATGTGAGTTGTAGTGGAGGGAGGGAGGGAGGGAGGGAGGGAGGGAGGCGTTACCCGTGACGTAGAGGAGTGACAGACAGTCACTCCCCCCTCCTCCTAACATGTGACTGCTTCCTCCTCTCTCTCTCTCTCTCTCTCTCTCTCTCTCTCTCTCTGTCGTACAGTCTCTCACTCTTACACTTACATACAGTACACATGCTTACTGTAATTTCTCATTCTTAACATGTCCTTCTTCTATCTTCCTGTATTTCAGAGGCAGTTTATGATACCATTTTTACATTTAGTGGGTTTATTGCACATAGAATCCATGAAAATTAGAACCTGTTGCGATTTCTGGCCCCGATTTGCAAAAATTGTCTGCTTTCCATGTGATTATGTCGGTTAAATGACAAGAAAGGCTGCAGCCTACCAGTGATTTTTGCTGGCTGCTTTGACCAAATGTGTAATGCATCTGTAAGGTAGCACACTCATCACCCTGTTCACGTAAAAAAAAGACTCATTATCAAAGCTCAGTTTCTTCTTAACTAAGGCTAAGTACTAATTTCTCCATGAGGAGAGCCAGTGCCTCGGCGGAGGTGGATGTAATGTTTTACTAAAGTCCACAACGATGTCTTTGGTTTTGCAAATATTCCCCTTCAAAGTGATCGTCAGCGACGCCTTCGCTCTTTGATTTAAATACACTGCAATCTAACAACAAACGTGTGGTTTTCAGTCGAGTGCATCTCTGGTTTGTGCAGCTTTTCAACACAGTTGCATAAACTACTGATACCACATATGTCGGATGTAAGAAGCAAAGATCATGCTGTAGTTTCACGATGCTACATTGTAGCTTATCGAGATAAAAGCTAAGAAAACGCTGCAATGGATTATTGGTGAAATTGATCAGCAATCGCAGGAGCAGGAAACCGTGTCAAGTGTGGTGGTGACATAGTCACAGTCAGCTGTTCTCAGAGCGGCAGACTGCAGGTGCACTCCTAGGCCTGTTTCAGTGCTAATCATTGACCCGGGTGTTTAGGGCCGGTCTGGGTCCATCCGGGGGATCGACTCTGGGAAGATCAGGCCGACTTAACGTCAGTCACCACATCCTGCTGTAACAGGACACAACCAGCCACAGGGCGCACGCCTGTAAAATATTATCTACTTTGCCTTTCAGTGTTGCAGTGAAGCAACCTTGAAGAGAAAGTTACATGCGTCAAACAATGTGGATTCTCCCGGTTCCCATTTACAAACGCACATATTTACCTCTTGGATCGGAACGCAACGCCACACACGAACCTCATGTGCTTTGAAATCATTTTCTTTCTGCGTCGAGTTTATTTTTGAAGTGCTGTTCGGGTTGGGAAGTCAAGTAAAAATAGTTGCACCAGTTTCCTCACAAGGATTATAACAGTTTTATCCAAATGTGCATCCAAGTTATCCTGCTCCACTGCTCTACTGTCAACATGTTGACAGCATTGATGGACTCTGCGATATAAAGCTGCTGCATCATCGGAACAGTTGCTTTCTTTTCATCAACATTTCATTAACTGAACACTTAATTGAAAGGGTGTGATAAAAAAACACACACATAAGTGGGCAGTCCCAGCCTGAGAGAGTTTGTGAGTTGAAAATTGAAATAGATCAGTAATTGGAAAAACTTTAGGTCCCACACACCAACAAATTACTCATTTACTGGCTTCCATGTTTGCCTCCTCTGTGCCCCAAGTTACAGGTTATTATAAAGTAAACTAAT